CTCAAGAGATATGGATTAAAAAAACAGTGATAAACCAAAAGTTGTCTCTTATATCCCTGTGGCCAGAGTTCCTCAATCTAAGCACTACTGACATTTTGGGGCACATAATTCTTTGTTGTGGGTGCTGTCCTGTGCACTGTAGGATGTTTAGCAGCATTCCCTGGCCTCTACCCACTAGATGTCTACAGCACACATACACATACACACAGATACACCCAGCTATGACACCCAAAAGTGTCTTTAAGCATTGCCAAATGTACGCTGTGACCCAAATTTTCCCCTGGTTGAGAATCACTGATGTAGCTGCAACTTGCAAAAATGGGTCATTTTATTTCTCTTCCAATAGAAACATGTTTTTTTTTTTTTAAAGATGACGGTAAGGGGATCTTAACCCTTGACTTGGTGTTGTCAGCACCACGCTCAGTCAGTGAGCTAACCGGCCATCTCTATATGGGATACGAACCCGTGGCCTTGGTGTTATCAGCACCGCACTCTCCCGAGTGAGCCACGGGCTGGGCCCCGAAATACGTATTTTGAATGCATACAGGTTTTTTGGGTTTTAATATGTGTTAAACTGTCTCTGTAATGAAAAGAATTTGCAATGCCAATGGCAAAGCAGAGAAAAGCTACACGACAGGCAGAATTGTATCCCAAAGCTTCAGACCATATTATGAAATAGGCTACATAAACAACACTAAAAACTCATTTATATTAGCAAGATAAAAACATAAACATTTAGATGTGTGCCACCATGACATTTATGAATGTTTTCCTTATTTTTCAAAAAACTTCAAATGACCCTTTCATCAGAGTTTGGAGGAAAACTGTCCAAAAATTTGACTATAATCTAGTTATCTACTTGGGGAAATAATATTTATCATAACACATATTAGGACACAATATCACCACACTTATAATTCAGTACCACAGATTAAAAAAAGAAAAATACTAGCAGGCTGCTTTGACTAACAGTATTAAAATGCTAAATATATGTAATTCTGTGAAAGTTAACTGACATCTTTTCATTACATTCCAAAGAAGAAATGAAAAAAATTATTTGGTGAAGTCAGCACCTACCATTGCTTATAACAATGTTAATCCCAGAGACTGAAGGGTCCCCTGTAACCTTGAACTTAACTTGGTAACATGAATAATAATTATTCAGGAGGAAAATAAAGCTAAAATGTATTTTGGGGGTTTGTAACCATTTATTGATTAAATTAGCATTTGTGCCCACTTACTGGAAACTACTTCAAATTTAAGTACCCAAACACTGTTCTTTTTTTATATATACATAATAGTTTCATTGGAAAAAATTTATAGCTACATGTTACTTTATATTCCATTTTAGATGCAGATAGTTGGACTGAATAAATCTAAAATGTAATTGAATGACCAAAGGATAAAAACATCCTTTTCTGGCTCAGAATAGTTCAACCTGTGATTGCAATTTAAAAAAAAAAAAAATGAATTCACATTTAAAAAAATAGGTTAATGGAACAGAAATTTGTCTTCCTGTTTTATGTTGCCCTTTCTCCTCCAGTCCACTTGCTAGAAGATATTTCAAGTGCAATTTCCTTGAAAGCTACAGATTTTATAGGTTAATGGGCGGTTACCATTATAGTTACTGGGCTGATTCTATTCAGTCTACATCTAGAAAAATCTTTCTGTTGTTGTTTCTGCACGATTTCCTGCCATTAAAAAAAAAAAGTGCAATAGTAAGTAAAAAAGAAAACAGTAAGCTATAGCAATCTCCCAAGTACTGTTTTCCCCTTTCGAGATTCAAAATCAGACAAAAAGTCTCCTCTGTATTTCTAATGAAAAACTGAGCAATAAATTCTGAAATTTATGTTAAGCAAAATGAACTCATTGCTGTGTTATGAAAGTTTAACACACTTTGATCAATACATTAGCTGTGCAAACACAAATATGCTATAGTAATATCACAGTGTAAGCAAACCTGACTGGCCTATGCTAATAATAAGTAGTAAGACATAAAAGATATGAAAGCAGTAGGGTATCTGAAGAAAAGCCAAATACTTCCAATATTCCCCAGAAATGTCATTCTCTCAACTCTTGTGTACATATATGTATAAATCCTATAAACACGAAGAAATTTTACAAATTTATTCTTATTCTTTTATGAAGTTAGTTAAAAATTAATGAACAAGAAATTAAAGAGAAGGTGCTATAAAAAAGCTAGAATATTCTGACTGAAAAACAATTACAATGAAACTATTTACACTCCCATAAAATTATAAACATTTTCCATCGGATGTTTTATAATACAATTTTTTTTAACAATGCTCTCTTCTTACTCTTGAGACAAACACTGAAGGTTTGCTTCACATATTAAAAAAAACAATAGAGTAAGAGCTTTGCTTTCTCAGAAAAAAAAGCTTTGTAACTCCAAGTAGCATGTTGAATGCTTAGATTTTTCTTCAAATACATTTGTATGCCTTTCCTTTCAACTAAGAGGATTAGTTTTCAACAGTATGTAATTGACAGAAAATTGTGTTGAAATGATATTATTATTTAATTCTGGGAACTTAACCAGTCAGAGAGCAGAGATACAAAGTTCTTCATACAGAACTGAAAAAACACTACCAGCAGTTTGTAAATGTGCTCAATGCTTTTCCACTCTTCTCACCCCCCACCTCAGTTATATTCAAATTTCACAAAAGTGAAAGCAATAACTGAGTTCTTGTCCTAAAAGAGAGATAATGTTTTAAATTTAAAAAGTTACCTTTCTAGTTTTAGATATTTAATCAAACAAAACTTCTAACTCTTTAGGGACTTCACTAAGAAAAAATCCCCTCCGTAGCTTCTGGCTCAAACTTGACAAACTTGCTGAACTGTGCAGATGTTGAAGCAGCCCTCGGTTACACTGGGGAAGAAAGAACTAGACATTCCACGGCTGCCTACAACAGCTTCCTTCCCAGGGGCACAGTTGCAGGCTCTATCAAGCTCAATCACTTTGTACAGCAACTGGGGATCCAAGGCAGAGGCAAAGAAATCCCAGAGCAGCTTAAATTTCTCCTAGTACCCCAGCAAGAAGGAACACTACTTAAAGAGTAACCAGTTATTTTCAACAATTACGTGACCCCACGCCAAAAAAAAAAAAAAAAAAAAGATGAAGAAGAACATCTGTAGTGAGAGAAAATAAAAGATGTTTCATGTTTTAAAAATTTGAAGCAGGAGATCTTCCTTGGGCCTTTGTTATGAAAATAACTATAAATAATTGATCTTTATTCCTGATCGGTTTTTTTCTTTGGGGGGGATGGGGAGAGAATAGTCAAGTTGAAGAAACAGAACTTAACAGTAAACTCAACAACTGTAATGTAATACACTCATTGCTGGATTTTTAAGGGATGAAATGTATATCACAGTTGTATGTTTAAAGGTGCTACCCACTTCCATTTTACATCAGTATACATTCTCACACGTTTTTCCAAACATTTTAGAGACTAAAATAATAGTATTAATGATATTATATGATTAAAGCAGCCAGAGAATATTCTTTCCCTACTTGAGGATAACTGATGCTATGGCAGATGCTATTTCCTTAGGATAAACCAGAAATGAAAGGGCTCTAAATATATATAGCTCCACTAAATAAAGCAAGTATACAGATCACTATTCCCCACAAAATTATGCTTTTATACTAATCATCTTCTTCTAGGGTAGTAAAAGACAATACATAGATGCATATGTAGTTTTTATAGTATTTTGAATTTATGTGAGTAATATTATTACAATTATTAATTATCACTCGGTCAGAAAACCATTATTGTAAGTTCACATAAGCACTTGCAAGAATTCAGCAAATAATGAAAACAATAATAATGATGATTTTAATTTATTGTGGACTTGCTATGATTCAAGCCCTGTGCTAAAGAGCTTTTGATATATTACCTCATTTACCTCACCCAATGATATTATCCCATTTTACAGATGGAGAAATTAACTTATAGGGTCACTGAGCTAGTAAATAGTACAGCCAAAATTTAAATTTTTTGACTCTAAAGTCCATGCTCTAGTTATTATGCTTAACTGACTGTGTTGAAAATGACATTTGTATGTCAATCTGGAACACTTTAAGTATTTTAAAAATCAATTTTAAATGTTTATATTATGTCATTAAATGGTGCTATATAGGGAAAAAAGCCTCACTTCATGAGACGTTAGTTAAATCTCATTTATATTTCTTATAATCCCTTTTTCTTCTATAACTACTGATTTTTTAATAGCCAGAAAAAGGTTCATTTCAATCTAAAGTGTTAATAATGCAATAATTCCCTGAATGTTTTCATATTCTAAGTATCCTAAATTTCAGATGCCTATCTTTCTGTTTTAGATTGATCCTCAAAACTACAAGTCAAGTGGCTAGTAGATAATTAATTTTATGTTACTTAATAGATACTGAGGCATGTAAACACTAAACCAGGCCTGAAAATTTAGAATAAGAAAACTTTTCAATTTCATATTGGTGTTAAAATACTGATAAGAAAACTTCATGCCTCAAAAGGCGTTGTAGTTCAACAACATTCCTCCAAGACAACACACTACACTACAGCAAGGAGTACATGAGGCAGAAGCTGATGACATATGTGGTGTGCACAGAACTTCTGGTTAATGGAAGTTCTAAGATGTATAAATAAAAAATGATGTGTGAGTTGGTAGAAAAAACTGTAAGGCAAATCAATTTTTTAATTAAAAAATTATGTAGCATAAACAATGCTAATGAGCCAAAAGTCCCAAGAGATTAGGATTGTATCTGCTTCATTTTAATGTTCCATTGACTTTTCATAAGTGCACATTCACTCACTTGAAATATCTCATGCAGAACACTTTTATAAAAGAGTTTTTCAGATTTTCCTTGTCTTTGTTCTTAATAGCTCACCATCTTCTACTCAAGTTGTCAACTTGATGACAAATGACATACACACAAACACACAAAGAGCCCTTACACCTTTAAATGAATCACCAGAAAATAATACCTGGAAGTTCTTCATAAATTTCTTCATCTATTGGTTGACCGCATGTTGGTGAACTGCTGATTGGTAGAGGATTATCAACATCATCATATAATTCTCCTCTTTCATCATCATCCTCAGGAATAATATCTGATTCCATATCTACAAAACACATTTCATGAAGTACATTTTGAAAGAACATAAAAGAGATTTTTAAAATTCTATTTCCTAAATAAATGCAGCCCTACAAAGTAACAATATTTTATGCACTATATCCTTAATTTAAAACACTTTTAAAAATAGATTGTTTTGTAAATATGTGAATTTTAAAGTTGCCAACTAGTACTTATACAAAAGATGCTTTTATAAATTTGAAGTGAATGATCTGTATTAATACTTGTCACATTCCCTTGGTCATTCTCACAGAAGTCAATAAGCTTCTGTATACAAAAACCCAAATCACTCTGATATTTAGTATTTAAAGACTGTGATAACTTGTTCAATTGATTGCCCTTACCTTGTAATACAAATTTCAGCTGCTGTACCCATTCCTCAGCATCTTTGGGAGAAGCTGCTGTAAACTAATAAAAACAAATAATAAGAACAAAAATCACTACAGTAGAAATGAAATGTATGTTGCATGCATATCATTTCTTTAAGACCATTAGTAATTCTTTTCATGTCTAGTGGTACTTTTCTTGCAAGGATGCTTCTTATAATGTACAGTTAATTTTGACAAATTTATGTAATTGAAGCAGAGGATGATGAATTTGAAACTCTGATCAGCAGCTGGCAGCTGTGCAGGAAAAAAAGCTGCTTCTCTTCATCAATGTCAAAGACAGAACTGATGAACAAAATTTGCCCTTGACAATTAGAAGACATCCATGAATTTCTTTAGACTGCTGGGTGTAGTTTTCTTAAAAATGTTCTTGTCAGATTCCAACACACTACCTGACAACTTAATTAACTGGCTTTCAACTACAATCTCAGATATTTAAAACTTATTAAACATACATTCCATATTGATGCCTAGCTGATAGCATGAAGTACAGAGCTGATATGTGCCTTTTCCTTCATTTTCTCCCACACCCCTAAGCAATACGATATGCATTAGCATACTGGCATTTTTCTTTTGATAACTTTATTCTTTCTGCTATGTATTTCTTTTAGAAAATCATATAGTTCTATTAAAATAGATATAAAATGCAACATGTAAAGTAATTGATGAATTACATATCCACTTGATCTTTTTCAAGAAGATATCACTTGAACTAATCTGAAATTTTAAAAAAATGTTATTTCTTCCTATATGAATGTTCAATGTACAAAAACCAGTATTTTTTTTATTGTTATTAACATGTCAGGGAGAGTTGATTTAACAAAATGTTAATATCTCTAAGATGAAATCAGAACATTTTATCGACTTTTTTCAAGGCAACATAAAAACTCCAACCTGATAGATACGTTTATCAGGAGCAGAGATTTCAAAACAGCAATCTCTCTTTCCATCCTTCCTAAGGGTGTTATTCATTCTGACATTGTAGCCATCTATTGCAAATTCACCTTTCTGTTGTTTATCTGTTGAAGATAAAACCAGAAGTAGAATTTCATTTACTACAGTGAATATTAATGCTTAGTCAATTATCTTTTATTTAGACTTTCTTTGTCAATTCTTGGAAACAGTATTTTTTGGTCATGTTGCTTTAGTAATATAATGCTTAAATAACCTTTCTAGATACTGTTTTTAATTCTAAAATATGGAAGTATTTGGGATGACTGGGCCTAAAAAGGATATCTAAGGAAACCAGAAGGAGAGGTCTATAGATAGTGGTCTTGTTCAGAAGGAAGTGTGGAAATATGACACTTTTATGTAAGAAAAATCCAAGAACTAGAACTCAGAATGTGCTAGACAAACCCACTACAAACCCATAGCTCTTTCAGATTTAGGAAGCCAGTGGGAAAGCCTGTCTAGTTGAAAACTTGCTGGGCTTTTTTTTACCATTATCTCCTTTCACCAACTGCTCCCTACCCACCACCAAAAAAACCCACACAAAACAACAACAACAAACAACCACCCAAAAAAACCTCTAAAACAAAACGGTTTTTTTTGGAAAAATCTCCTAACTCGGTACAAATCTAACTCTAAATTTAAAAAGCAAAGCAAAACAAAACACTTTTTACAAAAAAGATTTGAAGGGAAAACAAACTATTTGGATGGTGAAGAGTGGTAAAGCACGTGTAGAAGTATTAGTTATCAGGAAAAAGGAGGTTTTGTAACAAGTGAGTGAACGGTTGAACTAATAAAGCAAATTTAAATCCCATATGATGAGGATGACTTGAGCTTTGGTCAGATATTATTTTAAAGATAAATAAAATAAAAACACAACAAAGGATTTAATACTCTGAAACTGAAAATAAAATTAGTCAGCTTTTCTATTTCACCCAGTTATACCATTTTGATAGAAAAGCTGCACAGGTATAGGTTTATTTCCCTGATTAACACACAATATTAAAACTGTCTCTTTTACTGAGCTCAGGGGAAATCTAGAAATGCTTCCATATTCTCCATATTGCAAGGTGAAGGGCTCGCTCAGCTCAGTGCACCAATAAAATATATATCTCTTTTCTTTAAATACACTAACTTAACACCTGAAGTAAAAGATTTTTAAAAGGTCATGAAGATCACATCTTGTTCAAAATATCAAGTGAGAAAAAAATCTGAGTTAAAAATTCCTGACTTAGGGCCGGCCCGGTGGCGCACTGGATAGTGCGCCGCTTCGGAAGCGCGGCGGCGCTCCCGCCCGAGGGTTCGGATCCCACATACAGACTGGTTCCCGCTCACTGGCTGAGCGAGGCGCGGGAGCAACACCAAGGGTTGCGATCCCGTTGCCGGTCCCCGGTCCGGTGTGGGGGCAACACTGTGGGTTGCGATCCGTTGCCGGACACGGAAAAAAGACAAAAAGACAAAAAAACAACACCAAGGGTTGCGATCCCGTTGCCGGTCCCCGGTCCGGTACGGGGGCAACACTGAGGGTTGCGATCCATTGCCGGACACGGAAAAAGACAAAAAAAAAAAGAAAAACTAAATTCTCAAAGACTAAATCGTTCACTCATTCATTCAACAAATTTATATTGAGCACTTTAAATAAGCCAGGCAGCATTATAGGTATACCAAGACAAAAGACACCTTATCTGACCTTTTCCACCTTCCCAATGAAATGCACATACACACACGATACAAATTTATGTGCTCTAAAAATATTAGTGAATGATCCACTAGATTGCAAAAGTAATTTAATTTTAACTACAAAAAATGGAAGTAATCTGAGGCAAAATATCAAGGCCATACAGGACAATTTCAAGAGATGTCCTTAAACTGCCCGATAGAGACAGGATGTTCAAGGATCAGCTATAGAGGAAAGTTGCTCCCTTGCTGGGCCGGGCTCAATCGCTCCACTCACTCGGTCCATATGATCTAAAGCTCATGCTTTCTACCTCTGATTTGGGTCTAAAATTCCTATCAATGTAACATGAGGGGAGGTGGAATTGCATAAAGAGTAGAGTCTGCATCTGGAGATGTAAAATGAGCACTGTAAAGACTGAGTTTGGAAGAATTAGGGGGAGCAGGAGACCTTCCTGTGCTAGATTTTCTAGGACTAAGACAACCAGACAGTAAAATGAGGCAACCCCAATTTAGCCTAGCAGATCCACTTTAGACAAAACCCCCAGACGAATGATACCGGGCTTTATCAGATCTTCTACTAGAGTCTAAGAGGGGACTGTTATCAGCCTTCAGTGAGATGAACCAGAGAGAAGCCATGAATCAGTTTACAGCTAAGCATCCTAGATTATATACACATGTCTTTGTTCAAAGAGAAGTAAAAGAAGAAAAGCAAACAAACACAGATGCCATAAAAATATTGCATAATACAAAAACATAACATAGCACTTGAAATGTAGAAAGCATGAGCAAACTAGGAGAAACTGAAGTAAACTTTAGACAATTGTTTTGCATCTTTTATAAGAATAAAACACAAATTCTGAAAGAAGAAAGATAAAACAATATAGTATAAAATAAAAGGAAAAATGGCTGAAACAGGTAGAAATTGAAATGACGCTGGCAAAATTAGGGGAAAAACTGCATAAGGAAATAGAAAATGCAGCAGCAAAACAAATGATGTACAAGGGTACTTCAAAAAGTTCATGGAAAAATAGGATCAAAAGATAACACTAATCTTTCCATGAAATTTCTGAAGTACCCTCATATTAGAAATGATAAAAAGTGGAATTAACATTGTTGAAAATCAGCAGGTAGAAAAATAAGGGGGAAGAGGGACAAAACGGAATATGATGAATATGGAGGACTAAGAAAAATACAACATAAGAAAAATGGGTGTTCTGGAAGAAGAGTAACAAATAAAACAGTACCAATAATCAAAGATATCACAGAAGAAAACGTCATTCTGTCACAGAAAGACCTAATTCTGAAGAACAAAAGGTGCTGTTGTTTAACTACAAAAAAAAAAAAAAGAATAAAAAGAAACTAATACCTAGACCCATTTGGCTGATTATTTGTATTTGAAGATAAAAAGAATTGTATAAACATCCAAGTAGGGTAGGGCTGTAGGATCAGAAAGATTGAAGAGAATGCAAGGAAACTCATCATTCTTTCTCAACAGCTTTTGCAAAATCATAACCATAAAGTAGCCATATTTCTAATTAGCCAATATAAGATAGGAAGTTCAAGACATGAAATGGGCAGACATGGGTATAAGATCCTGATCTTCTCCCTTCATTTTAGTTTCTCTTCTGGACAGAGACAACTTTAGCATTATCTGGTAACTCTTGATAATTTATATACAGGTTAGTTCCATAGAGCTTTCTGAGATAGTTTCAAGGGCACCTGTTGACACGCACAGATTGTTAAAAATAGTACAATGCCAAGCAAATTGAAAATAAGGTCATATAAGTTTATTTACCCAGAACTGCGAAAGATTAATAAAGTATTAACTAGGTTAACTTCCTAAATAGTAGATGCTCAATCCTTTAAGTCATAAGACTTTTTAAATGTAGTCATTGTGATGGAAATCTTTCCAAAATATATACTTCCCTAACTTTTCAAACAATGTCTTCTAAACATAATTTAATGTTTTCTTGATGATCTAGTAGTATCATTTTAAGTATTAGTTTTTATACCATGTTATTACACATTTATGACCTCAGGATTTTTGAGGTGTTTGTTCCTCTATTAAATTTTCCTCAGCTTCTATTTCACACTTTAACCTTGCCTCTATCATACTGTTAAAATTTAATGTCTACAGAACTGAGGGCCTCCAGGAGAAACTAGATAATGAAATCTATTAAATCACCAACTGAATTTTACACAATTCTAATTCAGTACGTTCAAGGTAAAATGCAGTTGGCTCTGATCTCCTGCAAAACAAAATGCATGAGACTAATGACAGCAATTTCCTTCTACTTTTTCACTGGCTTTTAGGTCTGTAGCTGTGTTCTGAGTTTTTAAAGCTGCCAAAAAGACAACTCACATCTACTCAGCTCCTTCTATATGTCAGGAACTTAACATAGCATATCTCATATATACCTTGTAATTACTCTAAGTGATAGAAGGTATATATTATATCCTCAGCACTGATAGGAAAACAAACAAGTTAACCAACTTGTTCATGATCACACAAACAATAAGTGGTAAAAGCCAGAAACCCAGCATAAGTCCGACTCTAACGACTTGCTTTTTCAATCATTATACACTGTTTCCTAGAAAGGTGTTTCTCAAAGAATGTTTCTCCAAGAATATTTCTGTAGACACTAAATTTGAACAGTATGATAGGGGCAAGGTTAAAATGTGAAACAGAAGAAACACCTATGTTAGAATCATGTTGGATGCCTGTTAAAGACTCAGAAATGGCTGCCACTCTGCACTTGCCATATAGGAATCCATGTGGGTGGGTCCATGAAACCAAATTTTTAGCAAGCACCCCAGGTGATTTTGACACACACTAATGTCTGAAAAACCACTGTGCTAGATAGATCATGTAATTATGAAGTCACAGCAGAGAAGATAAACATTATCTTGCATTTCCTCCTACAACTTGTGTCAGCTTCATTCATGGGCTACCCTATCTTGCCTATCCCTCAAACAGCCATCATGTATTATGTTCCAAATCTGGCTCTTTTTTCACTTTACAGTTCTCCCTGGGCAATTTCATCTAATTCCAAGGATTAAATTCCTATCAGTACATTTGTGACTCATAATTTCCTATTTTTAGTCCAGCTTCAAAACTGTATATCTGAATAATTCAAGCCCCCAAACCAGAAAGCTGAGCTCTATTCTTGATTTTTCCTGTTCCTTCACCAGCTTCCCTTACACCCCACTTTTTCTTGCAAATACACTTGCTTTTTCTCGTCACTGGCTCTTGGAACATATGCTTAAAACACCAATCACTCATATCATTTTAAATATAATGACTAAATAATTGCAAATCCTTTAGCACCTCTATAAATTGTGGGCACTTATCATTTGGGGCTCTCCAGCATCCAAGCATCTTTGCTATTTCAGT